TTGGGCTGCAGCCTCCCCCCCCCCCCGCCCCCCGCCTCCCTGGGCCTGCAGCTCCCAGACAGCTCCTCGGCCTCCAGAATCTCGTGCACTAACTGTGCATAAGAAACCTCTCCTAAACTATCTGTGGGCTGCTTCTCTGGAGAACACTGTAACACAAGCAGCAAAGCTTTCTTCACATAAAATCCTACAGAAAAACCTACTCTGGGACGAGGCTGAGAGTGTGGAATCAGGCAAGGGCATAGGCAACCCCGAAACTCAGGCTGGGTGCTCGTCCTCCCCGACCTTGGCCACTTCCAGGGGCCCAAAGGGCTCTGGTGTCTTGAATCCACCTCCAGAGGACTGCAGGGCCCAGTGGGGGTGAGGGCCTGCCCAGGGCCACATAGCCAGGGCTGGCAGGGTGGCATCTACTTGGCAGGCCTCACACCCAGTGCCAGGATGGGCCTCACCTGCCGGGCACTGGCCCCCTCAACACTTCACCAGCAGGTGCCCCCACACCTTCAGCCTTCTGTCCAACCAAACATTGCTCTTCAATCTTTATCAAAATCTCCCACTCTGTGTAGATCAAGTTTATTGAAATAAAATGCAATAATGGTATCCTCTTGTGATTATTTCACTCTCATTTACCCCTGAAATTCTATCTCCAGAGACGCACTCCCATTGAGCTGTAGCCCCAGCCCATTTTTTAAAAAAGGATTTTTTCCACTCAAGCAGGATCTTACTAAGCTGCACAAACTGACCTCAGACTTGCGATCCTCCTGCTTCAACCTCCCAAGTAGCTGAGATAAGCACAGTGCCTGGCTAGGAATGACTTCTTTTTCTTGACCAACTGCTCTGAGTAAAACCTCCAGAACAATATGAAGAGCCAGGGTGATAGGAGACAACCTTATCTTGTTCCGGATCCTAGAGGAAAGCATTTAGTCTGATGAACTCTTTCAATCTAAAAAGTCTATCGTGACCCCAATTAAGGCTTCTCCTCCTTCCATCTCTCCTGGAATTCTTGTCACTGAAAGCTCTAAAAGCTTTGCCATCACTGCTCCGGCCAAGGGTCAGCAGACTATAGAACCAACAGGCCAAATCTGGTCTGGTTCCTGTTTCTGTAAGAGAAGTTGGATTGTAACACAGCCACATGGATTCATTTATGTACCGTCGGTGGCTGCCTTCAGGGTACAAGCTCAAGCAGAGAAGCTGAGTCGGAGACCAAACGGCCTGCAAATAGCCAAAGATATTTACTATCTGGACGTTTACAGAGAAATAAGCCAACCTTTATTCTAGATTAATGTCTTTGCTGTTTTATGCTGCCTCTAATTTTTTTTTTTTTTTGGAAACTTGTGTTTTATTTTCCATCAACCTCGTTTCCATTTTGCTGCCTCTAATATTTTTAAATTTTGAAGCAATGTATTTTTTTAATCCCAAGAATTACATTTTATACCCTATTTCTGGTGCCATGTGTCCTGGACTCTCCTGACTTCTTTGATTAATGTTCCCTCCGTTAGACACGGCCCCTTCCTAAACACAATAGAAGGGCCCCACTCAGTCTCTTTCTTCTTCTCATTTTTCTTCTTTCCATCTCTGAAGCTTTCTGGGGTGCCAGGGGCAGACAGCAGTGGCCTGGCTGCTCGGGTACAGCCATTGCCTTGCAGTGGAGCCAGGCAGCTGCTTCCCTGGCAGTCTGGCCAAGCTGCCATCAAGACAGCCATGGCTACATCTGGTGCCCACAACCACTATGGGAGTCTGTTCTGGCCGTGGCAGCTCCCCTACCCACTGCCTCCCCAGGGGACCCCTCACAGCCTGCCTGGGTAGCTCTGTCCCTCGATAGCTGCTTCAGGTGTCCCCACCCTGGTCCAAGAGATGCACCTCCTGCCTTTGCTGTGACAGCCAAGGCAGGGGGCTTAGGATGCCTGTGCAGACTGGCAAGATTATGTGGAAAGTCTGAGGTATAAGCAGGAGACTGTGAAGGTGTGTGGTCCTGCGCTCCTGTCTCTATGGAGGTGCAGCACCCTTCACCTCTGTCGTGTCAGTCCAGGTAAGCTCAAAACCATCCGCTTTTCCCCCATACGCTGCAGCACAAGTCCTTACAAAGGCTCTCTGGATGGATGTATTGTACCCATCCGTGATTTCTTTCTCAAGCAGAGCAGGCTGAATTTGTTGCACTGAGCTCATAATACCAAGGGCTTCGAGCTTGGAGAACAGCTAATAACAAAAGAGCTGCTGAAGCAGCAGGAAGCACTGTTAGCTCCAGCTGCTAGAAGGGCAGTGGAAAGAGCTGATAACATTAAGGACAGAAAGTTGCTGTCACTCAAGTCTCAGGCTGCCTGTGCTAAGAGCTGAGAGCTGCTGGCACTCAAAGCTCAGGGCTGCAACTTAAAGGGGCAGCACTTTGCCTTTTTGTGATTAGTATCCAAGTTGAGCAAAAGAACCCTGCTTTGTACAGTTCTGATCACCCCAGTAGATAGAAGACTGCCTCGTGGTGTGGGGGACACTGCAGCCTTTAAACCCCCTAAGTTCACTAAAATGTTCAGAGGCCTCCTCGTTGTCGTGGGTGAGTTCCCTTAGCTGTCAGGCTCCAAGGCCTGTAGGGCAGCAGGAAGCTCCTCCTCTTTAGTTCTCCTTCCCTCCTTGCCAACGGTGCTGCTAAGAAGCTCCTATCTTCAGGTCAGGCACCTGAGGTTCCCTCTCATCTCCATCCGGCCAAACTTCCCCCTGATGAGTCCAGGTCTTTGAGTCGTCATCCAGCACAAAGCTGGACCCCTATATGACTGCAGGTGCCCCAAGCCTTCAAGGCAGTGGAAACTAATCTTAAGGAGAGTCACTTTGGGGGCTGAGGAGCTCAAAATAGGTGGAGTCAAAACAAGAACCACAGGCCATTCTCAAGCTGTGGAAGGCAACTCGGGATGGAAATAATTCGAATTTCCTGCTAGATGGACCCAGAACCCAAGCAGGAGGTTCAGCGAATGGAAATGCCTGCAAAAATGGACAGGTGGGCCCTGATCTCCCAGGCACTGCTCAGGCTAGGGTGACAATGTGAACGCGGGATTTCTTCAGTTCCTCACTGTAACACGCAGGGGAGATGGTGTGGAGAGAGGAATAAAACACATTTGCTGGACTTAGGAAGTTCACAGGCTAGTGGGGTGGCCAGCAAGTAAAATGATAATCCCAGGGTAGGACGGTGAGAGCCTGAGCCTTCAACAGGCCAAGAAGGGAGACCTCAGCCACATGGGAGGGCGGTGCTGAGGTTCCAGGAAAGGGGAGGCAGGTGGGCAGGGCTGAATGGCAGGTGAATGGTGCGAATGAAAAGGAGGAGCAGGCTGACAGGTGGTCCATGAGGTCCCTGAGACATCTACTGTTCTTCAGGCACTCTCTGCTTCAGAATCTGGCCAGGATTAGCAATCCACTCATGCTAGTTAATATAAACCAGAAGTGATTCGTGGGTGAATCATCAAAAGCCACCATTTTTTTTTATTTGTGGTGAGTAAAGTTAGATTTGGCAAATGCTAAGTAATGAAGATGATCGCGAGTGTTTGCACTGCTACAGAAGAACCCCACTGATTAGGCGGCATAAGGAAATTTGTTTCTCAGCTCTGCAGGCTGGGAAGTGTGAGGGCATCACACTGGCGTCTCGTGGGGGTCTTCATGCTGCAACCAACTGTGACCAAAGGCACAACAAAGAAGCACCTCAACAGAGAGGAAACGGCCAGATTTAGCCTTTTGTCAGGAGCTCCCCTGTCCCAGATAACTGAGCACTCCTCTGACAGAGCCTCCATCCACTCAGGAGGGCAGTCTGCACGTCTGCACCGTCTATTCATCTCTTAAAGGCATCTTTTAATACTGTGACAAGCAATTAAATTTCAATAGTGCTGTCGAGGGGACACTGAAACCACAGCAGTGGGGCTGACTCCTTAGTGGCTACCAAAGCTGGAAAAACTTCAAGAAACAGGGAGCCTCTCCGGGACTGCGAATCTGTAAAAACATATGTTCATCCGGCTCTTCAGCTGGTCACCTGTTTGATTTTCTTTCTTTTTCTTTTTCTGGTTTTTTGAGACAGAGTCTCACTGTGTCGCCCAGGCTGGCCTCCAACTGACAGCGATCCTCCTGTCTCAGCCTCCCAAGTGCTGGGATTACAGGGATGCACCACCATGCCAGGCCAAGATGTGACACTCTTTAAGGACTTTCTATTACCTTCCCTGTGTTACCCCCTCCCCCTATCTGGGCAGATTTACCGTATCTAGCAGGAAAGACTGACAGGGCAGTGCGGGATCGGAGCACGGAGAAGCCAGGGCGGAAAGGGAGAGAACTGCGTCTCGGCCCAGGACTCTGACACGCACAACCGGGGGTAGCACTGCCTCCCCAGAGAACCCCAAAGCCTCTGGTGACCAGGCTCCTCCACTGCAGCAACTTTAGGGTTGAGACACGCAAGGCTATTCCGCGCTGACCAGTCCAGGCTCCCGGAAGGAAGGGACAAATGACGTAGGAGAGGCCGCTCCCTCGGGAGCTGCTTGGACTAGATCACAGCACCCGCTCAAGTTTGGTGACTAGAACCTACGAGAAGGGGGCTCAACTCCAGCCTCCAGGTTGCAACTCGGTCCCAACCGGGTTCCATATGCAGAGTCGGGTGTGGGCGCGCGCTCTACAACACTTGGATCAGGGTGCCCGAGTACCAGCGGGCCAGGTGCACAGCAGAGCCGAAGTGGTGGCAATGCTCTGGCTACTGCGAGCAGATCCAGGGGGCTCCCCGACTCTGTGAGTGCTCGGGGAAGGGACCTAGTCGCTCCACGTGGTCGCTCCAGCTCTCGCGGACCAGGCCCGCTTGTGCTTTCCTCAGAGCTCCACCCCGCCCTCCAGGCCACGCCCACTCCACACCCACATCCCAGTTCCCTGAAAATTTTGCGGGACCTTCCCTTGGGGCCCCGCCCTTTCCCTGAGGCTCCGCCCTTATCCCCGCCCACATCATCTCCGCCCGGGACCCTCGCCTTTCCCCGGAGCTCCGCCCTCTCCGATGAGTCATGCCCACTTCCCCGCCCCGAGACCCTGACCCTATCCCGCCGCGCCTCCTTCCCCTCGAGTCCCCGCCCCTCGCGGCTCAGGCCCAGCCCTCCCGGAGGCGCGGACGGTGGAACCCCGCGCCTTTTGTGTGGAGCTCCGACCGCTGAGCGCGCTCCTTTTCTTCAGAGGCTGCGAGCGGGCGGGCGGACGCACGCGCCCGCGGTCCTCTCAGCGGCGGAGGGGCGCACAGGCCGGCGCACACCCTCGTCTCGGCGAGTGGGCCGAGACTCGCCCGCGCTTCCCGGGGCCCCCGCTCCGAGTCTCCGCGCACGCGCGCTCCCGCCGGCCGGACCCCGCAGGCTCGCCCCTCCGAGGCCCCGTCGGCTGGCGGCCCGGGCGCGCGCGCACGCCGGCCGGGCACGCGCGCCCGCCAAGATGGCAGGGGCCGGGGCCCAGCTGTCAGCCGCCGTCGCCGCCGCCCTTCCCCGCAGCTAGCGGCCCAGAGCCCGCCCGAGAAGATGAGCCCCCGGCGTCCCCCGCAGCCCAGCCAGACGCGGAGTCGCCGCGCCCGGGGCCGGCTCCCCCGCTAGCGCCAGCGCCCGCGCCCCGCGCCCGCCCAGCCGCGACCATGAGGTGAGTCGGCGGCGGCGGCGGCAGCGACGGCGTCGGCGGGGCTGGGGCTGGGGCTGGGGCGGCGCGCCCGTTCGCTCGCGCTCCCCGCCCGGGCCCGGTCTCTCGGAACCTCTCGGGGGCTGGTCGCCGCCGCCGCCAGGCTCGCTATGCAGCTGCAGTGCCGGTCTGGAGCGCCGCCCCCTTCTCCCCAGCCTCGTCCCCTCGCCCTCCATCGCGCCGCAGGAACGCGCGCAGCCCCCAGAGGCGGCTCTCGGGGGTTTGTCCCGCGCCGGCGAGCCCGGGGCGCCGGGTCTGGAGAGCGGTGCCGGCCGCAGGAGCCCAGGTGCCCGCGCCCTGTCGCTGCGCCCTTTCCTCCTCTCCAGAGCTGACTGTGCGCCCCCTTTTTTGCAGTAATCTTTTTTTTTTTCTGTGCAATTTTATCTTCTAAACACATTCCGTAAAGACTGAGGTTGTCTGGTTTGTGAACCTTGTATAACTGAAATACAACCTGTATTCTTTGTGTCTGGCTTCTTTCATTCTGAGATCCGTCCTTTCTGTTGTGACCATTGTTTGTTCGTTTTCGTTGATCTGCAATATTCCGTGGTCTAAAGTATTCCATGCTTCTCCGTCCTACTGTTGGTAAACATTTGGGTTGTATCTAGCTTTTGGCTATCAATAATGTTTATGAATTTATTCGTATGCCTCCTGCTACATTCATTTCTGGTAGGTAGAGACCTAGTAGAATTTTTAGATCAAAAGATATTGCGTATCATCAGCTGTGGTGTGTAGTAAATATCAAGTTTCCAAGGTGTTGTACCAGTTTACACTCCCACCAGGAAGTACCTGAGTTTTTGTGGCTCTGTGTGTTTGTCAACACTTGGCATTGTCAGCCTTAAAGTTTAGCCTTTCTGGTGAGTGTGAAGCAGGATCCCTTTGTGGTTTTAGTTTGCTGTTTCCTTTTGACTAAAGAGACTCATCATCTTTTCATGTTTATTTGATGTCCTCCTTTCTGACATGCTTGTTTGGATATCTTGCCCAATTTTCCTTGAGGATTTACATGTCTTTTTCTTCCTAATTTGAAGAGTTTTTATTCCAAAAGCAAGAAGGTATTTTCTTAGAACATCTAAAAACCTTACTGCTTGCCTTTCAGCTTCAGATGTATAGTCCACCTGGCATTGATTTTTGTGTAATATAGGAGAAGGGGGTTAAATTTCATTTCACTCAGCATCATTAGTTAAGCCCTGATTATCACAAAGATCATCTTTCTCCATAGTTGTGTCACCTTTGTCATCTTCCAGTCTTCCACCGGCGGTTATTTTCTGCCTAAAGAAAACGCTTTCATATTCTTTTTAATGCAGGTTTTGCTGGTGACAAATTTTTAGTGTTTGTTTAAAGATCTTATTATTTGTCCTTCATTTTTTTGTAAATAGCCCTATTGAGAAACAATTCACATGCCATAAAATTTATCCATTTAAATTATGCAGTTAAGAAAAAAATAAATCATGCAGTTCATTAGTTTTTAGAATTGTGCAACCATTACAATTTAAATTAGAACATTTTTCTCCATTTCAAAGCCTTTTTGTTAGTTACAGAATTCATGGATTGCCATTGTTTTCTTTTAGCATTTTAAAACTTTCCCTTGATCTCTGACTTGGATTGTTTCTATGAAGAAGTGACTTGTCATTCCTTAGAAACTATTCTTTTTCTCTGGCTGCTTTTAAAATGCACTCTTTAAAATGTCACTGATTTTCAGTCTTCCTGTGCTATCTTGTGTATGAATTTCTTTGTATTTATAATTGAGATTCTCAGAAATTCTTGAATCTGTGGCTTCATGTCTTTCATTAGTTTTGGAAGTCAACCATTAGTGCTTCAGTTATCACTTCTACCCCTTCCTTCCCTCCTACCTCTTACCTTCTCTTTGGGGACTACAATTATATATGTTAGGATATTTGATTTATTTTCTGTGTCTCAACCTCTATTTTCTAAATTTGTCTAGTTTTTGTTCTGGATATCTCTTACTTGTCTCTCTTCTGATCTATATAATCTGTTATTAGACCTATTCATTGACTCTTTAATTTCATTTTTTAATTTTTAAATTTCCATTTGGTTCCCTTTTATGGTCTGTAGTCATTTGCCCAAATAACCAATCTTGCCTTTGATCACCTTGAACATAGTATACATAATTATCTTTTTTTTGCTTATACATAATTATCTTGAAGTCTGTTTCTGATATTTGTGAATCATTTCCAGGGTCTATTTCTGTTGATTTTTCATTCATACTGTCTTCCCTCCTTATGTGCCTAGTGTTTTCATTTTTATTTTTTTCTTTTTGTTTTGTTTTTGGTACCGGGGATTGAACTTAGGACCTTGTGCTTGTGAGGCAGGCGCAGTGTCACTGAGCTAAATCCCCAGCCCCTTCTTTTTGGTTTTTTGAGACAGGGTCTCACTGTATAGTTGAGGCTGGCCTTGAACTCACTGTGTAGCCCAGGTTGGCCTTTGAACGCATGGCAATCCTCCTGTCTCAGCCCCTGAGTGCTGGGATTATAGGTGTGTGCCACCATGCCCAGCTTGTTTTTCCTTTCTTCTTTTTTTAAATATGCATTGGACATCACATTTGTAAAATTGTAGAAATGATTTGAGGTATAAAATGATGTTTCTGCCTCCCAGAGATAACTCCCATTTGATTGTCAGGCCAGTGGGGCACTTATAATCTGGGGTCACTTTGGTCCCATTTGTTCTTGAGGCAACAAGCCCATGTCCCCACAGCAGCACCAGGTGGTTAGCATTCCCTTCAGAACTGACAAATGCTCCTGGGGAAAGGCACCTTCCCAGTCCTCCTCCCCCACCCCTCCAAGCAGATAGCTGTTATCTTCTCTCCCCAGATTTTTTAGTTCTCCACCTAGAACATTCTTTGGATTTTCTTAGTCCACAGTTACTGGACAATTCTTTTCTTTTTTTTTTTTTTTTGTACCGGGGATCAAACTCGGGTCCTTCTGCTTGTGAGGCAGGTGGTGGAACCACTAAGCTAAATCCCCGGCCCCATGGACAATTCTTGATTTTTGTGTGTTCAGGGACAGTTTAAGCTAATACTCAATTTTGAAGATTTATGCTTCCAGATTTCTAGAAGCTATGGAGAAGAATAACACCTATTTTCTTGTGTTCTGTCCTAGTTACATTAGATCATCTCTCTTGGTTTATAAAATGCTCTCGGAATCAAGATAATTTTAAGAATAAATTTATGACTCCTCAATATAGAATTAATTGAATAAAATGTCAGTTTGGCTTGGGTAATTATTGTAAACCCAAGGATTTAGAGGCCCGTGCTTTTCTTTCTTCTTTCCATACTTATGCTTTCTCCTGTTTGATTTCCTTAATTTATTTGATTCAAAATCACCCCTTAACTGGTCCTCTTGAATAAAAACATTTCACTTTTTGACTAATAATAGGATTCCCAGATTCTCTTCTTTTGGATCAGATAAAAATGCTTGGATGTAAAAAATGGAAGTTCTTAAATGATTTTTCCAGAATGAGTCGTTCAGTTACTATTTTTCCTTTTTTAAGTCATTCATTTTATACAGATTTTTAAAACCCTGCTAACAGTTTGATTTGCTTTTTTGTTGAGGCTGCTTACAGGGAAGCATCCCCAGGTGTATATGTCCTTGTACCTAAAGTACTTGTTATCTCTCTTGTCAGCTGACTTGATTTGGTTATTTATAAGGAGGGAAAACAAACTGTCTTCTCTGCTCTTACCCCACAATAACCAACACTGAACGACCAGGCCCAGTGGCGCACACATCTGGCCCTAGCTACTCTGGAGGCTGAAGCAAGAGGATCATTTGAGCCCAGGAGTTCAAGGCCAGCCTGGGCAACATAGTGAGACCCCGTCTCAAAAGTAGAAACAGAACACTTCTGTGACCTCAGAAGGTATCAGAATTTTCTCCCTGCCAGCAAGCAGTTCACTGCAAGAGTGGACACTAGCTGAGTGTCCCTTAATTCAGCTCTGATATCGTCTGTGTCAGATCCCCCAGGTTTAGGGCTTAGTCTCCAAGACTACCCCCTACAAATAACCCCATACCTTAAAAATTTACAGAAATTACTAAATACTTTTCTGCATCTACTATTATGGCTTGTATCTAGATGTCCCCCCAAAGCCTCGTGCAGTCATAGGTGAGGCTTTTCAGAGGTAGCTGGATCTAAGTGTGTAATGCTGGGATTCAGGGTGTATGATTACTAAATTAGTCTACTGATTGGTTTGGCATAGTTCTGAGTGTGGATAATGGGAAAGCCTACCCTGGGTGTGAGTGCTACCCGCCCTAAGGGTATATAGCCTGGATAGAATACAAGGGACAGAAAAAGGGCTGCTATTGCTTCTTGTCACTTGCTATTTGCTGCCTTGCTCCTGTGCCTGCCTTGGCACACAATGAACTCTTTCTCCTCTGCGATGCCCCTCTGCCATGCCACCCTGCCTTGGAGCCAGCCAATTATGGGCTGAAAAAAACCTCTACAAACTGTGAGCCCAAATAAACCTTTCCTCCTTTAACTTTGGGTGTCGGGTATTTTGTCTCACCAACAGGAAAAGTAACTAAGATATCTACTTAAGAAGCCATTGACACATATACAATATGCACCACATTCCTAGTTATATACGTTAGTCATTTACCTGTGGGGAATGTTCTCTTCTGTGAATATTTTCCCAATCTGCCTTTTATCTTTTAAGGCTTTAGTATATAGAAGTTTAAAATTTTTATGTCATTATGTCATTTTCTTTGTGGGTTTTCCATTACTTCTTACATTTAAGGTTTTGTTTTGTTTTTTTTTCCTGTTCTCTATGTAAGAGTTTTTTAAAATTTGTCTTTTGAATTGTCTGAAGTAGGAGGTGAAGACTGAAGTTATGTTTCCTTCTAAATTGCTGGTCAGACACTCGATTGTATCAATAACTCATATGGCAGAGATATGGGCAACGTTTTCTCTGTTAGGTGGCAGTGCAGCGCTTTGCCCAAAGTCAGTGTTACCCGATTGCAGCTTATAATGTCTGAAGGAGTGAGGGTCCCCTCTAGTCTTCACAAAGCTCCCCGCCCTCTCCAGGGCCAGCCTGTGTGTGTAAGCTGTCTAGCCTGTAAGCCAGTCTAGCCTGTGGGCTGATCTGGTTATGTCCCAGGTGACCACAGGGTCCAAGATGTTACAGAATGGTCAGTTCTAGGATTACAGAATACAGCGTGGTTCAGAGTACGGCACTGGGTACACAGCGACAGGCATGGTCCGTGTTGTTACCCTGGGCCTCCCCTGGCTAATACAGTTGGGTCCAGTTCTGTTTCTGAACTAGGGTCGGGTCAGGGAGCTGTCCAGATGTCTTTGGAGTAATCTGGAGGCCACCAGCTACAGGGGCCATAGGGAGGGTTGCAGTGTGTACATGT